TCTTTCTCCTGGGCCTAATTTGCTGTCTGTATGTTATCCAATAGTTCATCCTCTGTTGGGCCTCTCAAGTATATGGGTCTTACGCAAGTCCATAATAGTTGCCCCCAGCACGGTAGACTGGTTGCTCAGGCTACCAGGTGCATAAGTTAAAGTTTTCTAGCCCAACATAGAGATTGGTTGTCTAGGCTATCGTTTCCCACACACGACGCCAATGTTCTGTCTATGATAGACATGTCTAGCCAAGGGCTAGTGAATCAATATAGGATGTTGCGCTCTCTCTAGATACCTATGAATTAGATATTTCAGGGGTAGCAAATCACTGTACACGATTATGAGGTCTTTAGCCAGAAAAAGGGGTGGTGTGTGTGCACAGTGTTTGCGTAATAATAATAGAGAGAGATTAGTTCATATTTGTGGTCTTTAGCTCATATTTATAGTGTTTACCTTAGGGTTTGAACCATTTGGGCCTCTTTCTCTTGGGCCCAATCTGTACGTTATCCAACAGTCCATCCTCTGTTGGGCCTCTCAAGTATATGAGCCTTACGCAGGTCCATAACATATATTAATAGATCATTAAATGATAAAATATAATTTTTTGAACTTATATAGTGGATTCATTTTTCGCATAATTTATATGTTAATGTATAATTTGTTAAATTAATTATGTATCTACAAAAAAAAAATTAAAGCTTCTATATTTTTATTCTTTATTTATTCACTTTAATATTTTTAAATAAATAACTGAATTGATTTAAGTTAATAATTTTCCTGAAAAAATTACTATTTCTTTAAAGTAATCTACTCAAATTCTGCTTTTATTTATTTATTTATTTATTTTTTTGGTAAACGTCAAATTCTGCTTTTATATAAGTGTATAAAGTGGCAAACCATATTGGGCAAAAAAAATTAAATATTATAAATTAAATAATAAAATATAAAAGGTAACATTTTTGAACTTATTTACGAATGTATAGCAATCAGTCACGCCCAAAAACAGAAGCATTAAGGTGCTTGGTGTAAGAACCTGCACCGTTAATTAAGGTATTTAATTAATAAATTACGAGAAAATAGGAAATGATTCCATAATTGACTCTAATAATTATTTATGAGGCTTAATAATCATAATAAGTGATTAAGAATGCTGAAAGTCGCTTTTCGGAAGAAAAGTGCAGATACCGGTTCTGCTAGTCGGTATAAATGCGTGACGAAAAATTATCCCGGAAAATTAATGTAAGTGCATGATAATTACTAGAATAATATGTAGGACTTGTAAAACGAGTTTCAAGTCCAGATAATGAGAACTGGTGCTGGAAACCGGTACTGGCTTGGAAAAGCGCGTACCGGAAAAGTGCTCAGAAAATTATAAGAAAAATATGATAAATCTTAGAAAATTATGTAGTTTCATAATCCAAAGTTTGGGATTAAAATGCTAAGCGTAGCAACTAAAGTTAATACTGTGTGTTAATTGGGTAAGTGGCTATAAATACCCTTGTTAAGGGCACAAAGCCCTAGGTTTTTCTGTTGCTACGTGAATGCTGGAGTGGCTGGTCAGTTGCTACTGTTCCATTGAGCTTTCTTCACCATTTTGGAGATCAAGTGTCAATCTTGCTTGGTTTCTTCACCTCCAAACACTTGAGCCTTGTGTGAGTGGTCATTGTAAGTGTGAAAGGAGCACCTTTTCTGAGTTGTGGTGGTTGTGGGAGCTGAGGTGTTTTCTGGTTTGGTGGCATTCTTGTTGAGGAGTGTTGTGCTTGGCTTGTGAGGCTTCAAGGAGCTTCATTTGTGAAGAAAGATCCTTGCTTGGGTGGTATTTTCGTACACCCTTGAAGTCAGCACCTTGGCAGCTGATTGTGAGCTCCAAGAGCACCTCCAACCTCTGTCTTGAGCTTTGGTAAGCCTTGTCACCTTTGGTCTTGAGTCTTTGAACTTAAAAATGAAAGCTTGATACATGTTAAGGTCAAAAGATGATAACTTGTTGTGGGGTAATGTTGAACACACCTAGAAATGCATGTTTAGGTGTTTAAAATCGGTAAAAACCCAACCTTGGAAGGATATCTTCACGAAAATGCAGAAACTGCATTCTGTCGTGAAATATCCGGATATCGGCCCGTGGAATATCCGGATATGGGATATCCGGATATGTGTATTCGGATATGGGGTTTTGGGATATCTGGATACTAGATATCCGGATATGGGATTCTGGATATCCGGATATTGCTTATCCGGATATGTCCAGTGAGATATCCGGATATTGCATATCCGGATATGGTCCCGAGGAATATCCGGATATTCTGGGATTTCGTAGAACAGTAGCTGTGCTGTGTGTACAGTAGGCTATTGGGGGGTTGTGGACCCTAGATCGATGAAGTTGAACTTCGGTATTTAATGGACTAAGCCAGAATCATGGGATTAAGGGCTTGTGGCTTTGTTAGAAGCTTTAAGACTTGAAAACGTAATGAAAAGGCGTTGTCTTAATATTGTATGCTTGTGGTGCATGTTGTTGATGTATTGTTGGTCCATAACAGATTGTGAATCTGTTGTGTTTGGACTTTGAATTGTGGACTCTTGGCTTTTGGAGTTAGCTTGCAAGGTCAGCTTTCGTGTCCTCGGTTTAGCCATGTTGTGGTTCCACCATGTCCCATGGGGATATGGTTTATGCATGTTGTTTACATGCTTTTGGATATTTGATATGTTGATTGAACTTTACATGTAATGGCTTTTAATATGCATGTGTTGTTTCATCTTGACGGGAAGCCTGAGTATGTAGCGCCATACAAGACGGTGTACCGGGGTGAATGCAAGTGGTACTTGCACGGTGTGTAGGTGATAGACGTATACCTGCACTGTCTCTGGCCAGTAGATTAGTATTGACACACATGACATGATTATCTGCTGCATTGCATTGTTTTTGAAATGATAAATGATAAACTGCTTTGAACTTATATTGCACATGTAAGTGAGCTTGGGGTGGAAGATCCTTGAGGACTCACTGACTTACTGAGATTTCTAGATTAGAGATCTTACCCCACGTTTGGGGAATGCTTATTTCAGGATCAGGTAGTATGGGTACTGATGCCTCAGGCGGCAGGAGACCAGAGCTTAGCTGATTATGTTTTACTGCTTTATGTTAGCATGACTGGATTTGGATGCTGTTTATGTTTTCCGCTATTTATGATATGTTGTTGTTGAGACTGATGTTGGGCATGTTGCCTTATTTGAGTGAGCATGGGGATTGTCCATGACACTATATGTTAGTACTTGTAGTTTGGAGTTGTATAAACTGTTAGATGGTCCGGTCTACATTGTTGTAGTTCCGTGACTAGAGCCACGATTATATTATCTATGTTATGAGGTATTTCAGTTAGCTGTTTTATTGCATTTACATACAGGCGATATTTTATTAATTGATTATTAAGCAAGCTGGTAATGTTAATGGCATCATAATTGAAAAGAAAAAGTAATTCTGCATTTTTAATTAAGCGCAGCTTAATACGATATTATGATAACATTCCCGGATATATACGGGGTGTTACACTTGGTAGCGTCGAAATTTGGACGTGACTTATATGGTGATGACACATGGCATAAAATATTTAACAATTTTACCGTAAAACTTTGGAAGGCCATAACTTTTGACTTTAGTGTCAAAATCAGGTGTGTGTGTGTGTGTGTGTGTGTGTGTGTTTTTTTTATTCTATGTAACTTTTCATAATCTACGCAATAAAATTTTTTTAAGGAGATTTGGTCATGAATGCTTCCTTGTATCCCGTTTGACATATTTTATCTATCACAAATACAGTTTGAATTTGCAACAATACATAAGTGTTTTAACCAAGAAACCCCTGAGTTCTTTCCAAACCAACAAAATGAGTTGCGCAACACATGCCATCGATTTCTTAGCCTGGTTTTTCCACGGTTAGCCTTCGAACCAATGATTTTTTCAGCAACAAAATCGGTACTTTAGGGCTTTTCGTAAGAAGAAACGCTTTTGTACTTATGTTGCTTGTGTGCATTAATGGAGAGAAAACCACTGTCATGGTTAAAAACATTCCTAGCAAACATCCCGTTCTGACACTCGAGTCATGTGAGATAAAACATGTCAAACGGAACACAACAAAGCTTTTTTTAAAAAAATATTTTGACCAAATCCCCTTTAATGAGGTGTCATTGTATAGATTTTAAAAAATTACATGGAATTAAAAAAAAATCACCTAATAAGGCCACTCGAGTCAAAAGTTATAGTCCTTCGAAATTTTACGGTAAAACTGTTAAAAATTTTGTGCCAAGTGTTATCGGTGTGTGAGTTGCGCGCCAATACGTAACACATCTCTTTTGAGCGCGACTAGTTGCTATACATTAATAAATAGATTAAAAAAAACTATTTTTTTGGTATTTTATTATTTAGAGTAAACACCATTTTTGGTTCCTAACAAAAAACACGGTCCCCATTTTAGTCCCTTACAAAAATAAATTAGTCAGTCAGTCCCTAACAAATTCAAAGTGGACCCATTTAGTCCTTTTGAGGGACTAATATGGGTCTTTTTTGAATTTGTGAGGGACCACGATTTATACTAAATGGGTCCACTTTGAATTTGTTAGGGACTAACTGACTAATTTATTTTTGTAAGGAACTAAAGTGGGGATCGTATTTTTTATTAGGGACCAAAAATGATATTTACTCTATTATTTAATTTGTAATATGTAAAAAAAAAATTAGCCAACCATATTCTTATCCTGTGAAGGGATTTTTTTTAATATAGAGCCGGCCCATACTTCTTTGGATGCACCCTTTCTAAAAAAGGGCAAAAAAAATTACATTTTAATCCCTTTTTTTTTATTCAAATGCCATCTCACTCCTCTCTTTTTTCCACTTTTGGTCAAGGACTATAAAGTGCAGGCCCGTACTAAATCACCTCCATGTGAAGACCAAGTTACTGTGCAAGCATTAGAAGCAGATAAGACTTCTCTGCCTAAGGAGTAAAGACCTAATGGGCACAACAATGGAGCAAAGAAAAGGCCTTAGATTGTTACTTTTCCCTTTGCCACTTCAAGGACACATAAACCCTATGCTTCAGCTTGCACACATCCTTCACTCAAATGGTTTTTCCATTACCATTATCCACACAAGTTTCAACTCCCCTAACCCTTCAAACTACCCCAACTTCAACTTCTGTTGTATTCAAGATGGTTTGTCGAAAAGCGAATCCTCTGCTTCGGATCTCTTAAATTTTGTCATTCGACTCAATGTTAGATGTGTAACGGTTTTCAAGGAGTGCTTGGGAAAGTTGTTGTCTGATATATCTGAGGAACCTATTGGTTGCTTGATCTCAGATGCTATGTGTTACTTCACTCAAGGTGTTGCCAACAGCTTTCAGCTTCCAAGGAATGTGCTGAGAACTGGTGGAGTATCTTCCTTTGTTGCTTTTGCCACCTTTCCATTTTTAAGAGAAAAAGGTTATATACCTATACAAGGTTGGTTTTTTTATTTTATTTTATGAGTTTTGAAAGGAATTTAGGTAGTCAGCACCCAATTATGAACTTTTATTAATAATTTAGCCAACAAAAATTTATACAGAAGAATTTCAATATAATAAATTAGAGGACATGGACATATATGTATTTATGTATCTAAGAAATTTTACATCACTGTTAGATGCTCAAGCGCACTTAAAGAAATATACTCTTAAGTGGAAATAAAATGTACATCAGTTATGAGACTGCTGTATTGAATAGACAATTTTTTACACTTAGCAATCTAAACATTTTACATCAAGTCATAATTTTTCATTTTATTTTTTTACACTTGCCGACAACTTTGTAAAATGGGTTCTGGAGAATTCGTTAATGTTAGGAAATTCAAGTGTGAATGATTGAGGGGAAAAGTCTCACATTAATTAAGAATAGACTAAGTGAGCATCATATAAGTGGACCCATGCACCTAATGTCTTAAGGTTTTTGGTTTGATTATGGTATTCCAAGTGCCTACTTAATGTCGGCAATCTCTTTCCGCCATGAGCTCACTCTCCACGGCTCAACAATTAGTATTAGAGCTAATGGTGGATTGATCCGTGGTAATTCGAGTATGTCTTGATGTGGGAAGCCAACCACGTGAATACTCGAAAAAGCTTTTCTTGAGGGGGAAAGAATTTGAGTTTGATTGTAGAGTTTTAAACCCACTTAATATCATTGTTCAATTGACTCGTAATTGATTGCCTCTTCCCACCATAAACTTCCTCTCCACAGCCCAACAGTTAAAAGTGACAGCATTAAGATTTAACACTTAGCATTTACCCCAAAAAAAAAAAATCTAACACTTGCCAATTTATCTACTCTATTTCTGCATGTTGCACTTAGACTCTAAACTGGAGGAGACATTGGAAGAGTTACCACCACTCAGAGTGAAAGACTTACCTGTGATTAACACGGAGGAGCCAGAGAAATACTATGAATTAATATGCAGGTTTGTCAACGAGACCAAAGGCTCATTAGGAGTGATTTGGAACTCCTTTGAAGAGTTGGAATCATCTGCACTTGTAACACTGAGGCAAGAATGTTCCATCCCAATGTTCCCAATAGGTCCCTTTCACAAGTACTTTCCTACCTCCTCTTCATCTAGCTGCAGCTTAATATCACAAGACCAAAGTTGCATCTCATGGCTAGACAAACACACACCCAACTCTGTTGTCTATGTGAGTTTTGGGAGTGTTGCTGCAATAACTGAGACACAGTTCTTGGAGATAGCTTGGGGTTTAGCCAACAGCAAGCATCCATTTTTGTGGGTGGTTCGACCGGGACTGGTTCATGGCTCAGAGTGGCTCGAACCCTTGCCAAGTGGGTTCGTGGAGAATATGGAAGGCAGAGGCCATATTGTGAAATGGGCTCCACAACAAGAAGTGCTAGCACACCCAGCTACAGGTGCATTTTGGACTCACAATGGTTGGAATTCAACGTTGGAGAGTATTTGTGAAGGGGTTCCTATGATATGCATGCCATGTTTCACTGACCAAAAGGTAAATGCAAGGTACGTGAGTCATGTTTGGAGGGTTGGCTTGCAATTAGAGAACGGAATGGAGAGAAGGGAAATAGAGAGGACCATTAGAAAATTGATGGAAGTTAATGTTGAAGGGAAGGAGATTAGAGATAGAGCCTTCAAATTGAAGGAAGATGCAAAGCTTTGCCTCAAGCAAGGTGGTTCCTCTTGCTCTTCTTTGGAAGGCTTGGTTACTTATATTTTGTCATTAGAATCAAATATAAGGGTTTAGTGTTTTTCATGCAATTTTTTTTTTTCTAATTGTCAAATCACTTTCGGGGTTAAAACTCAAAATAATCATGTAAGGGTAATACTTTCTCATCATTAAGGGACTACCAAAGTTAAACATTCATTTATGTACTCTGATTACATTACATTTTTGTTTTGAAAAATAATGCAGTATGTAATTGCAATATAGACTATGGTTGGAGTTTGATTTTATTTTTTATTATTTTTTACATTTACTTTTGTGCAGCTATGGTTTGGTCCAACGTTCCTTGTTAGGATTAGAAAAAAGGCTATGCGCTAACGAAAATTTGTTGCCTAAAATAAAATTATAGGTGTTTTTTTTCATGAATTTTAAATAGGGAAAAGTTCACTAATTCCCCTGTAATTTGTTTTAGAATCATTTATGTTCCTGTGATTATTTTTTATCACGTATGTCCTTGTGCTTTTTGTAAAAAATAAAAAATCACAGAGGCATATGTGATAGAAAAAACCACAGGGGCATAAGTGATTCTCAAGCAAATCACAGAGGCATTTGTGAGCTTTTCTAGGGGTGTTAACGAGCCGAGCCGAGCCGAGCTTTGGTCTTAACGGGCTGAGCCTGTGTTCAAATGTGTCAGACTGGCCTTAGCTTGTTACCTGTTACGAATATAATATCAGCCTGTAGCCTGGCTCATTTACAAAAAAATAAAAGCCTTGTTTAGCCTGTTTAAAACAATAATACAACAAAAATTAATCCAAACAAAATATACAATCAACAGCACTAGTAATTCCATAAATATTCATAAATTTAATGTATATCCAAATAGCATAATATAAAACAAAATCATTTAAAAAGTCTGTTTAATTAATAAAATGAAATGAAATGAATTGAGAAGAGAGAGAGCTATCACAAGTAGTATAAAAAATAAAAAAAATAAAAAAATAAATAATATATTAGGCAAGCCTGAGAGGTTCTATGGCCGAGCTTTTGAATTGGAACCTGAGATCTTTTTATTAAATGAGCTTTTATACAAGTCCAAGTCTGGGTCCAACAATCAATTTTAGACATGTAAGCTCAGGCCTTCACGAGCCGAGCCAAAGGTCTCTGGCTCGTTTAGCACCCCTAAGCTTTTCCCTTTTAAATATGTGACATGTGTCCCATGCAAATATAAAAGTCATGATAAAGAAATTTCTCGCTTCTTATAATTAGAGCATTTAATTGTTAGGTATATGTAGCATGCATTTACTGACAAGAGCTATTGATTTGGGGCCATAGAGATTTTATTTGAATAGGCCATATTTATTTCAAATCTTTTAGCAACCGGTAGATGTCAATTTTAACACCGTTTTTGTATATTTATGATTAATTCGAGAATTACGTTTTTATAGGTCGATTTTATATTACTTTAAATTCAACACCTAATTCACTCATGATATATACACACTGAAATTATTGTGATTATCTATGTATATATTTATTTTTAAATTTAATTTAAAACTTAACAGTGATTAGTAGTCGTAACGAGACAAAATTTATGTGCGAGGTCAGGATTTAGATCTTTACTTTATCGAAACCTTATTTAATTATCATTCTTGGCCTCAAATTTCACGCATAACCGATAAACCACCCTCCCCAAAAAAAAAAAAAAAATAATACCAAAAAAAAAAATGTCAAAATTGATGGAGTAAGGATCCACTCTGTTAAAATTGATGGGGTGAGGCCCAATATCGTCCTAGGCTAATCTATATTTTCGGTTTAATTAAGTTCTAAGCCACTTAAACTCATGACCGATTGATTAATGAGGCCCACACATTATTGGGCTTTATTAGTGATCGTAACTGTGAGTTTCTTGCACAGAGACCTATTATCATTGTGAGATCTAACTTGGAACAACCCCCGGGATTTCTGAGAAATTCTTAGATATAGTATTCCATTTTTAATATTTTAAAATAAAACAATTATATATATAATCACACTCAGATGATCTAGTTGCATTGTATATTAGCATTTTTCCTGGAATTTCTGTTCAGCATCTTGGGGTTGTTGCAAGATGGGCCTCGTGATGTCTCTGCAGTCCTCTAAAATAAATAAAAGCAAGATGCCATCGTCAGGCAGAAATGACAACTCTATAGTAAAGTTGTTTCGGTATACGCAATCAATGGAAAACCAATATATATAAAAAAAAAAATCAACTCTAACTTAATAAAAAGATTTTATTATAACCATAGTTAGAGTTTAGAGAATGATTGACATAAAGTAAAAGTTAAAAAGTATATGTTTACAAGGAGGGATATTCTTACTACCAAAATCTTCTACTATCAACTCGTTACTTATGTAATCACCATTGGATCAAGATTTTCTCTTTTTTCAAAAAAAGTTTAGCATTCTCTCTCTTTGATTCAATGGTGATTAGATAGGTAGTAAATCAGTAGTAGAAAATTTTGATAGTAAGAATATCTTTCGTATATGTTTACAAATAATATAAAGTTAAGAGGTAGTTTTATCCTATTCTCCTTAATCAAAATATAAAGTAAAAAAGGTAAAATACTAGATTTATCAGAATTGACAATTGACAAAAGCCAGAAATGTGATTACTTTTTGTATTTTTAATAGATTATTAGCCGCAAATGATTATTAACCTAGTGAACGCCAGTTACTGATAAGGTCAGTTCAGCATGCATAATAGACGGCCCTAACCAAAAAGAGTCGTAAATCAAGAATGTATATGTGTGGGTTTGGTGTGGACCTTCGTGGGTGATTGGTTCGAACGGTAAAGCAGCTAGATAAGACATCAAATCGTTGAAAGAAGCTTCTTGGGACAAATCACTCAGGTAAACAAACCATTGATTGGGGAGGAAAAAAAAAAAGATTGTTCATGCATTGAAATAAACGCAACCTTATAATAGTAATCACATGTACATGAAGCACAGATGAAGCTAATAGATACGTTTCAACGTCCACACAGTTACCTAAACTAAGCGTCTTCGTTGTTAATCTAGTGAAATCCAAACCATTATTATGTACCAGATTATAATCTAAGGAAGGAACATTCTTAATTTGAGCTTGTTGCATTTAGCATGTTATATATTTGGGCATTCGGTATTAAAAACAAGCATTAAACATTCTCTCTCTTTTCTGTCTTATTCTATAAATGTTTTTGTTCACGCATTAAGGTGAAGACGAGATTTAATCTCAAATTCTTAAAATTAATTATAAAAAATTATATTAGTTAAATTAGTTAGTCCCTCTAACCACACAGTCATTTATCTATAAATATATTATCTTTAGAATAAATGGCCTTAAGTTAATCCGACACTCATTTGTTTATGAACTGAATCAGAATATGAGATATGGATCTATTTTTCGGATAGTGAAATATGTTGATCTGAAAGATATGAGAGAGGCAATAATATAGACCAGAGCCCTAAGTTATCTCCGATTAGCCTCATGTATACTGAGGGTGCTAAGGGGAATGGTGTGCATGGGCTTCAGTTATGGTTATGGCAAGAATTCAACAAAATAACAGCTAAGGAAAACGAATGAAAAAGATGTAGAGTAAAGGAGCTAAGGTCTTTTTATATAAGAGGTTAGAGATTCTCTCTTAATGTATTAAGTGTGATCCCATAACCATTTTTACCCCTGCGGGCGCCACTAGGTATGAGGCTACATGACCCATGACGTGCAAAGAGTCATGTGTGCGTGAAGAGTGTGAGAGGACATATTATGTGCAAAGAAATTATGTGCTTTACGTGCTGAATAATAATGGGCCCACTAAGCAGACAAGAAACAGGTCAGATAGGTCCATTTAGCCTGACCGAACAATTTATAAATATGTTGAAATATTTTAAATAAAACACATCAAGTTCAAGTTCGTCAAACACACGTAATATTTCACATTTGATATGTTAGCATTTTCAACATCAATTTAATCAATTTGGAATAAATTGTAAGAAATTAATTATATTAAAAAATTGATTCACATTAATATATTCATGAGTTTTTGAATCGCATACGCAAAACAATTAAAAATTAAAAATTAAATGTAAAACTTCTATTAAAAAAAGGTTTTAGTTTTATCCTTTAACATAACACAACAAACTTTCCTACCCTCACAACATTTTGTGGGGCCCACACTTTTTAAAACAAAAAAATAAATAAAAAATTATGGCACGCAAAACGAATCTCTATAACATTACACAATCACTTTTCCTACAACATAACAATCATAAAACCCTTAAAAAAAAGACCGCGCTTTCCTAACCAACTGCGTTGGTTCCAATCAATAAAAATGCCTTAAGTCTCTTAATCATGTGGTCCTATCTTCGATCTCAAAATTTAAGTGTATGGAATCAACGGACAAGATTGAGAGTGTAACTTAGATTGGTGTAAAATGATCCTTACCCTATATGAGGTAGGATCCTTTGACACCAGTGTCAAATTTCAAATTTAACACCTCATCTGAGAGTCATTAGATCAAAAAAGATCAACGACTCTGATTTGTAAGCATGTGACACCATTGATCTTTTTTTATCTAATGGCTCTCAGATGATGTGTCAAATTTGAAATTTGACATTGGTGTCAAAGGATTCTACCTATATATATATAAATATATATATATATATATATATATATATATATTATCATAAGCTTATCTCCGGCCACCTTAAAACTACGTCGTTTTAATTATTTATTTCCTTATATTTATTGATTCACCTTTGAATAGTTATGATTCTTTTTTCTCTCTCTTCATTTATCACTATTGATCCATCTTTGTACGGTTATGATTTAGTAGCCAGAGATAAAGTTATCTCCGGTAGCTTGAGAAATGATAAGCCCATATATATATATAATCTTAACGTAAAATAAATAGTTTGTTCACATTCTAAAATAAGAGAGTGATTGTGCGTCGTCGTAACTTAATAAGTTACTAATATATAGAAATATTCAGAATCAATGTCCATTTTTAATTATTTGACCACAAAGCATATGCAGTATAATTTATTGGAAATGAATTCTTTCATGTT